CTTTGAGGGAATTTGAGTTTTTTTTATTTTGTTTGATCAGATTTGCCTAGAACCCTTTTATGGAAATCTATGGAAAACGAAAAGGATGCTGTAGTGTTGGTCAGAGCTCGTTCGTGGTAAATGTCACAGCACACAGGCATGTGCGTGTTCACAGGCATCTGCTTTTACACTTTCAACCACAATATGTGTGATATGTGCTGAATGGATGCGCAGGGCATTTAGAATATGCTGATATGCGGAAACGTCAGATTATGAGATGCAAATAGGAGCACGCGGAAACCAAATGAAAGCAGGCTGAAACAACGTTTTCAACAATATGGTAGAGTTTAACTTTCAGCAATCTGCTTTATTCGTGTGTTTGGTTTCTGATGATGATGATGATGATGATGATGATGATGATGATGATGATGGTTGTGATTTCCTCGTGTGTTTTCAAGCCAGATGGAAAGCAGCAAACAAACAAACAGCTCTATTCAGAAGGAAAAAAAAAGGGTTTCGTTTAATATTTGTCAACAAATGAGGTTTTTAGATCATAAATAAAAATGTTTTGTTCCCTCAGCCTGGATGTAATCACACAGAAAAGGAAGGGACGTGAGAACTTATTAGAAAATACCCTGGGTTTTTTTTTTTAAATGGCTGACATGCAGATGAGGCGGAGACTGGTGTTGTACAATCCATTTAAACTCGAGTATCTTCCAGGAAATAATCGTTTATTCTAATATACGCAGCTCCAGCTTAAAGGTCAGATGCTGAACAGTACGACACAGGTTCGGAAACATAATTATTATAAGGACAAACTGTCTGGGGGAGGTTGGGATTTCTGAGTCGGTGCTGGTGGAGGACATTCAGGCAAAATGGGCTTTTATTAAAGTTGTGGTGGAATCTATGTGTCAAATGGAAAATATTGATTTTTATTGAGGGAGGTTTGTATTGGAAACAAAACTCATTTTTGCGTGTATTTCTGACATATTGAGGAATAATTCCAACTCAGCTCAAGTTATCAAACCTTTTATTTTATTCACCCACAGTAAACTGCTGGGCTGGCTGTGCGCAGTATGATGACTGGAAGCCTACGCGTCGTTTAAATACAATCTTTTCTCTGGAGGTTGTTTAATGTACACCTACATCTCCTCCGCCAGGTTATTTGTTGGTTGTCAGGCTCCAGGTCAAACAGGCCTTGGACCAAGCAGGGAAACCATCACCAAGGCAATAATCAGCCCTGTCCTTCTCCAGTTACCCACCGTGTCCAGTTACATCTCCACTGCCGCCCTGCCTTTGAGTCTGTTCGCCAGCTTTAATTTTCTACGCTTTGTCTTTTGGCCCCGTGCTCAGCCTCGCTTTTGCTTGCTTGCCTTACAGTTAAGAGCGAAAAAAAAAAAATACACCAAGACATGTATTTGTGTGTGTGTGCGTGTGTGCGTGTGTGTGTGTGTGTGTGTGTGTGTGTGTGTGTTCGCCTGTTTGGTGTGTGATTAACGGCGCTCGCCGAGTTTATTTTCACTTCTTGGAGGAAAAATATGAGTGTTTGCATTTGCCACTGGCCTTTAACCTGTCCTGCCGGATGGAAAGGCTTTTTAACTCATCCATCACACGCAAGTGCCCTCCAGAGCAGAGGAGGAGCGGGACGCAGGCAGGGATGCAAGCTGAGGAGGCTGGGTATTTTAGAGTACTAACCTCCCCACCACCACTACCCCCATCCTCCCACTCCGGCCATCTATCAGCCTGTTATATCTGCTGGAGGACAGAGGAAGGTAGAATCACGGGAACTCCTCCATGGAAAATCTCCATGTGCTGTAAATCCCATAATATTCCTGTGGGGACTTAAAGGGTCAGTGGGTTTAGTGTGACTTTTTATATATATAATATCAGGATAAGGACAAATGCCGTGATCCCCCTGTAACTGGCCTGTATGACTTTTCTAAATGTTGTAGGGTGACTTCAGTTTCTGCACCGTCCGGCCCGCGCGCACTTCACTCCATGGATTCAGTGCACCCATTAACTCTCAACTAACAGCCTGCATAGTAAATACCACCTGCTGACACTACAGGGTGACCAGGTCGTCGATGCCAGCTAATTACAAAACGCATCATCTGCTTACTTCCGTGTTTGGGTCACGCGCCGCAGCTGAATTTGCCTAGTTTCCTGCGCTAAATATCTCGTAAACACAGTTTTGACTACAAGCTCAAAAAGTGAGTGCGCCTGGTATAGAGGATAGAGGTGTCCTGCCCAAGGGCATCTCGGTAGGTAATATGTGAGGTTTGTAAGTGAATCTTTTCATTACAACGACTTTATAAAACAGGTCTGTAAAGTGTAGAAATTTAATACAGGCTCCTGTATGAGCCCCCTCTGTGCAGAGAGACGCTGAACAAATATAGATGGGAAAAGAGCAAATGCTTGTTGAGAGCTTGCACAATTGTCTTTTGAAAGAGCCTTCGGGGGGAGTTTTCCGGTCGGACGGGGATCTCATGTCATACAATGGCCGAAAATGCTCGAGACTGGCGCCGGTGACAGTCCCGGGTGTCAGACGGTGAGGCCTGAGCCGGTGCGCGTTTATCTGACACATGCGAGGCCCCGGGTTGAACACCAAGCAGTCAACAGGTCAGATGCTCTCTAGTAACGTGTAATCAACCTGAAGAAATACGTGACTGGATGTTAGTTCTGTTTTTCGGGCATTTCGCTAACCATCCAGTCGCAAGTGCGCAGAGACACAGTGAGGTGTCTGTCCTGTGATGACTGGCATTGCAGTGTTTTTTGTTTTGTTTTTTTTTGTTTTTTAAAGAGACTCATTTTACCGTTGGGTTGGACAGTTTGACTTATCTCATTTTTAGCACTTAGTTCACATAAACATATCACGGATGGCAAATATTTGTTTTTGTTTTGAGAATCACGACTTTAAAAATCTATAGGTCAACTATAGCATGTGGTTCAAACTGCAGTCACGGTAAACAGTTTAACACACACTCACACACATACACACACACACACACACACGCACACAGGTCAATGGATATGTTGGCCTAATATGTTTTCAGATTACATGGGAAAGAAAACTAAATTACTGCTTGGATTGGTCCGAAAGAAATTTTAAGCCTATCAGATTTCCCAGAATGCACCGCGTCTACCTACTTCAAACCGCTTTAAGAGGTATTATTATAAGGCCTCACCTGACGCTTTCCTGACCTCAAACCTACTGAAATGAACACGTTTCGCGCCTCCGTGTTGGGCCAGCAGGCGCCGCTGCGTTTTTCTAACCAACAAAAAGACGTTTTCTAGAAAACGCCTCGTTTCTCCTGCAGCTGCCGCGAGTTTTAGTGCATGTTCTTCTCCAGCGCAGCTTCACACGGAGGCAGCGAGTCAACACGTGGGAGAATCTGTTGTACCTCTGGATCGCAGATGGATGTTTACGGTTCATTTTCAACTGATCTGTGAGGGCAATGCAACAACTGTGCAAGCGTGACCGAGATCTCAAGAGTCCGACCAGTAAACACCCTGACATCATAACATATGATCTGACACTTTGGATTTTCAGATTCACCTGTAGCTTTATCCAGATCACCCCACGTGATCCAATTTCATTTAGATTCCAAGTCGTCTAAATAGTCTCAACGGATAACACCGAGCCAAGCCACCACTGGCCGTCATGCATGAGTCAGGCCAATGTGTCAGCATCAGTAGCCATATTCAGGTTATCTGTAATTAGATCATATTAATCGGGCCATCCATCACAGTGTGATTTGAGCTGAGAGGTTGGGATCCAGCTGCGCAGTCAGAGAGGGGCCATAGAACAGAGTCGGATACATGTTGGAGTTTAGACAGTTTTTTTTTTTTTTTTGGATACAAACCAGTGGCTGTTCGGGGGGAAACGCAGCGCACACAGATCTGCTGCTGTCAACAGCTGATCATTCACTGAGGTGTTTGGTAGCAAACAGCCTGGTGTTGGTTCTGCTGCAGAAAACACGGTCCAGGTATGACACAGAGCCTTGGTGTGTTTGGCTTCTATTAGTTAGTTACCAATGAGCTGCTGGAGCGACACTTGTCAGTTTACAGCGTCAGACGCACACGCACACACGCGCGCACACGCACACACATCATCATCATGCGCTTTCCACGTTAGGTCAGGGTTAGATGGCAAATGTTTATTCAGCTCAGCACATATCCGAGATATACATTGTGTGGGCGTGTGTGTGTGCTGTGTGTGTGTATATAAGCGCACCCAGCGTGCGTTGCCCTGAACACATTCAAACATGCCTTGTATGAATAACAGGCCCATTTTTACTCTGAGAGAGCAAAGCGTTGCACTGCGCGCGCTCGACAACTGGGGAAAGAAAAAAAAAGCAAGTGAACGCTGCAAAAAATGTCCACGTTCACGAGAGATGACGAGCCTTAACAAACTGCCACTATGATAGACTCACTTGTTGGGAATATTCTCTTTCCTCAGATGAATCACTTTTTTATTTTTTTACTGCATCTAAAACGTGGTTGAAGATAACGTGCAACAAAAAGCAAAAAGTCTAATTAATTTATGGGACTTTTTTTTTGCATTTGCATTTGCTCGAGCTTGACGTCACACTAAATATATTGGTTGGGTGGAGATTTTCTTGCAGCGGGAAAGTGGGTGGGACTGCTCATTTTGGGGAGGTTAAACCAAGCAGATGGGTGGGTCTCGTGTCTGGGTTGGAGAGCCGGAGCTTCCTCTCGGTCACAGCGGGCAGAAGCTTTCCCCTGCAGCAGATAGAAGGAGAGCGCACTGGGCCGTCACTGCTGCAGAGGAGGGACAGGGGGGCTGTGTGTGTGTTAGTGTGTGTGTGTTAGTGTGTGTGTGTGTGTGTCCCCTTTTTTTCCTCCAAGTGTTTTTTTTTTTTTTTCTTTTCTTGTGGAAGAACAAAAAACTGCCGTGGAAATTCTCCCTGCATGCTTCATCCTCTCATGTCGTGGTGTGTGTCTGGCAACGGGTGGATTTTTTGCAGCGTAGCTGTTGAGGAAAGCTTTGTGCACCCCAGGATTCACCCCGTTTCCTCTTTGTACGCATCCTTCTATTCAAGGTGGGATGAATTTGGACAGAATCGCAGAGGCAGTGAGAGCACCGCCGCCCCGCGACGTGGCCCCCGCGTTTCATTTACCGAGAACTTCAAACAGCAGTCGAGAAACTTTAGAGAACTCAAGCAGCGAGTCTTCCGACACAGAGCTGGCAGGTACACAGTCAGAGTGCTTTCAGCAACTCGTTTCCTTCTTCTGAGTGCTATAACGCTTTGTTTTACGTCTTCTGCAGCGGTGGGCTGTCGCACAAAGGAGACGATATTATAGTTAACTTGTTTGTCTTAGTGTTTGCCTATTCTCTCTGCAATGACGATTTATTTCCGTGTGTTGCGGTGCATCATGCACATGCATATAAAATCTATCCAAGCCCATTTCCAGTTAATCTTAGTTTGGTCTGTTTTCTGCGCATAAATACGACAAAATAGAGAAAATAGTCCAGTTTTGTTGCAGTTACACCCCATTTTTTTTTGTTATTGCGCTGGCTGAGCCAAATATTTGGCAGGATCCCGAGGTCTGTCAGGGAAAAATGTGCAGAAAGCCTGGCCTGCTGTCAGTAAATGCATTAAAAGCAACAAACTATAAATATTGGGTCCATCCACCAATCTAAACTGAAAGCCAGAAGGTCCATATTAACAGTTCTTGGAAAACAGCTTTTTGTTCTTCAACTTTGCCACATTTTTAGAAAAACAAAGGCGCTTTCTTCCCTTTCTCAGTCCACTTGAAGAAATAGTAAAAAATATGCGTGAACATCATTTAATTAACAATCTTCCTTAGTTGAAATTATTTATGGGGCTTAGATTAAAAACGATATTCTGGGTTTTGGTTCAATTTGCTTTTTATTTTTGGCAAACATTCTTATTTCTTTTCTTTTCTTTTTTTGTGATTAACCTTTGCACGTGCTGACCCTTCAGTTTAACGAGGCAATCTTGTTGAGACACGAATACAAGATAGCAGGAGGGAGATAAGGGTGGGCAGAGCTCGTCGTAAAGAAAGTCATATTGACCGAAGGCAGATACAAGTGTGTTTGAAAGAATCGATGCAAAACTCAGACATGTTTGTAAATATTTGGCTTTAAGCTGTCACTTCTCTTCTCGGGCTTATTTTTTATGAAGAGCTTTGTAAACAATTTATTTATAGCTTTGGCTTTGCTTATTTCTTGCTCACAGGCCTTTTCGGTTATTGACCTAAAGCTTTAGTTGCTGCATTTAATTCCACTCTGAATCATTCAACATTTAAGGTGCAAATACTAACCTATTGAATGCAAAAATGTCCCTCAATAATCTGCTATTCAAAGTGTCTGTAACATGCAGTAATTTCACCCCCCCATTAATGATCCACAGAAAAGGAGAGGAGTGCTGAACACAGGAGCGATGACGGGAACGCGGACGACCCCAAGAAGAAGAAGCAGCGGCGGCAGCGGACTCACTTCACCAGCCAGCAGCTGCAGGAGCTGGAAGCCACTTTCCAAAGGAACCGCTACCCGGACATGAGCACCAGGGAGGAGATCGCCGTGTGGACAAACCTGACCGAGGCCAGAGTCCGGGTAAGAGGCCAGCATAGGCAGACCGCCGACCGTGCGTAAAGCGTGCGTAATGCGTGCGCAAAGACGATTTTAAAAATAAACTCGAGCATTCTTGGGTGGTTCTTTTTGAATTCTTAAGCAATTACCTAAATAAATGAAATGATTTCACAGACACTTGAAACCAAATAAGTAATGAACTGTTAGACCAAATGTCCCCAAATAAATAATTATAAGAAGATGAACAAAATAAAAACTTATTCTAACATTTAAAACACACAAGAATGACTAAAACGGCTTAATATCAGGGTTACGCCGTGTATGATGGCTGCGCTGAATTCAATAACTTCTTGTTCCCATTATAATATTTGAATGTTTAATTTACCATTGATTTACCCAAACAGAGCTAATTTAATAAATCAGTATGGGAAAAATCTCCAGTGAGGATGTCTACACAGACTCCCAGCATTTCTGCGTGATACCAGGACAGGCCGGTAACAACATCCATGAGGTCAGTGCTTTATAAACTGTGCCGCTTCTCCTGGAACGACCTGAGCTCTTACTAAATGACAGTGAAAATCCAGTAACAGAGTTGATGTAAATTGTTGCAGTGACTTTAAAACAGTTCAGTCAGGTCGAAACTAAATATGTGATTTAATCCAGAGACACGCTGACGAAAATCCGCTGACAAAAAGCGAGATATTTTCAAAAGCTGTAGTGTTAACAGATATTACATTGCAGTCATCATTGACTGTCAGCCGCTCTACATCCAAAAACCAAGTCTTCCATTATTAAACCACGTGCTTAATTCTCAACACCGCGCGCAACCGTGACTCGAGCATGAATAAAACAGCACGTCTGTGAAAACACACGTTCATATTTCATGTTGAAAATTTAGCAGAAATACAAGCTGTCTTAAAGTCGTGCTGGAAGTGACACATGCTCTTTCAGGGTGTATCCGCGTTGCTAATGGAGCCAATAGAGGATTTGTCTTTTGATGACATCATCACCTTATTTCTCCCCGTGGGGGAGACGGTGCATGCAGCCAAATCTACCTGTGGCTGTGCAACGAAAAGGAACCGCGCAGCAGGGTATTTACAACATTTGCAACTTGGAAGTAAAAATGTTTGAACAATATCTTATTTAACAAATTTAAATCAGAAGAGATTCCTGGATTCTTCTAATAGGAACCTTTGAAAAGTAGAAAATAGCTGACGCCATAAGTGCCTATATAAAATTCACTACACAACACTACACACCATTTTTATAGGCTCAGGTAATAATAAAGCTGCTCTTTTCTCTAGAAAAAAAAAAAAATCTGGATGCTAGAAACACAAAACAATTGCACTTGGTTTTCATTTACAGCAACTGGCGCCTGGCGGCCGGGCTTAGCAAAAAAATCCACCGTTTCAAATTGCACAAAAATGCATACAGCTATTTAAAGTGCAGAGAAAAAAAGTGAAAAGGCTCGGAAGGAGTTTAAAGTGCTGGATTTTCTTTTCGTGAGCCAAGAAGGGGGGAATTTCAAACAGTGCAGCTTTTTATTTTGGCGGAGTAGAAGGAAAACATTGTAAAGAGCGTGCCACAGCGCAGAGTGAATATTTCATATTCATATCGGAGCATTTAATGAGATGTTTTGACGTTTTAAAGTGTTTGGACTTGATCTTTCGAGGTCATCGGTGTTTAATCAAGCATGACAGATATTACATTCAGATTGAATTATATTTGTGGGCTCAGGTTGAACGTTACCTTGGCCTAATTTGCTCTGATGAGGTTTTTGCTCGTCAACCTGCAACTTTAATTTTTTTTTTTTTGTTTGTTTCTTTTTTTCTGGCTCGGTTCAGGGAGCTGCAGCCTCACACGAGTCGCTGTGAAACGCAGCCTCTGCGTGTTTCCTCCGCAGCTCTCTGTCTGTCACATCGCTCATGTCTTTGTGGACAATTTGTCCGCAGCACCCTGTTCCCTGCGCGGCTATAAATAGCCTCCGCGGGCCCGTGTGATGATACCACTTGTAAACTGTTTCTACTATGAATTAAAAATGACTCGCAGAGTGCCAACTAACGGATATTTTGTCAGGTTTCGATAAGGAGTGAGGATATCCAGAGGCACGTTTCTGATTCATTTACAGCACATCCACTGTGCGTGTTTGACTCATAGTGTAAACCTGTTGGTTTTATTTCGGGCAGTCTGACCCACATACTAATATATGCTCACACGGTTACAACTTCATTTGACTCGCATGTAAATGAGAGATAAACCGTTGTTAAAAATAAAGCAAAAATAAATAGATTAAATAATAATTCAGCACTAGGCTCCATAAGTAAAAACACATTGATATTGTGGTGCTACTGATGCTTTTTTTTGTCATTTTAAACAACAAAATTCGTGTCTTGTCTTCCTGTACAAGGTCAGTTCAATATAATATTCAAAATAAAAATATATGAATTTTCTCATGCCGAATATTTCACTAAGAAATATTTTTATTTGCGACGATTGTGAAGAAAAGTTTCATTTTATTTCTATATTTCCGGACCCCGAAGAGCTCATCCAATAACTTCCTGCACAAATAACTAAACACGAATCTAAATAAATGCAGCTTTAAAGTTAAGGCTTTAAATAATGTCCAGTTATAAACAAAGCCAAACGGAAAGCAGCAGCAGTCACTATTATATTCAAGTTAAAGCCTTTGTTTTCAAACACACCGATTCTGTGCTAATGAAAGGGGATTTTTATTGGATGAATGTGAAGTTTCGGTCTCTACAGCACTGGACTGTGGAGCAGCAGCTGCTCCTTTAATTTAAATCAGGGTTGTGTTGCAGTAAACCGGCCGATTGTGCAGATTTTCAAAGGAAAAGACAAACAAATCCAGTTTGATGTTTTTCCCTGGGAGAAAAAAAGAGATACAACAGCTCTCTAAAACAAATCCCCAGTCAAGACTGTGGCGCTCAACAACAGATTGTGGTCCCCAAACTGATTTTTGTGACCATAAATAAATAACTGTTAGGCCTGTATTTATGGAGCCTAACTGAAAAGTTTGTGTTATTCAAATGATCGTCAGTGAAAATACAGTCTGTGCGGGGTTTTTTCCTGTGTTTACAAAGTGTTGTAAACAAATCTTTAGACATCTGAGAACATTAATCAAATGAAGTTGTATTTAATGAGCTGTCAATCAATCTGGGCCTGCAGCTTCAAATTCTGAATTTTGCTGTAGGTCTTTTGATTGTGCCTCGAAAATATTTTACCTAAATGTATTTTTTAAAATAAAATGCCGCATGCAAATTAATTGTAATGAATAACAGTCAAAGACTGGTTGTTTTTGGATTTTTAAATAGCACATAAAATAGGTGCTGTGTCCTAAGGACCTAAACACACCCTGAATGCGGCAGCAACAATTTTGGGGCCACTAAAGGGGTTTGATATGAATCCATCAGTTCTGGCTGCAATTTATAATATTTAGTAAAAAAAAAAGTGGTGTCGCGTGATTCTTACTGGAAAGTTGAATTTTATTCCAGTAGTTCCTCATAAGCTATCGTGATATTTGGAGAGTTCTGGTTATTAGCATTGGTGGAATGACAGAAAAAAATAATGAGAGGCCTAGTAATAATCATCTTGAACCAAAGGGAAATTCCCATTTCAGACTCTCTGGGGCCCCGTGGCTCCTCGCTCGTGTCTCCGGTGACTCTGCTGCTCTGTAGCGCAGTTCATGTCTGCGGCTCTAACCCTGTGTCTCTCTTCCAGGTGTGGTTCAAAAACCGCCGCGCCAAGTGGAGGAAGCGGGAGCGGAACCAGCAGATGGACCTGTGCAAGAACAGCTATCTGCCGCAGTTCAGCGGCCTCATGCAGCCTTACGACGACATGTACCCGGCCTATACCTACAACAACTGGACCAACAAGGGTCTCACCCCGGCGCCACTGTCCACCAAGAACTTCACCTTCTTCAACTCCATGAGCCCCCTCACCTCGCAGTCCATGTTCTCGGCGCCTAACTCCATCTCCTCCATGACCATGGCGTCCGGGATGGGTCACTCCGCCGTGCCGGGCATGCCCACCCCGGGTCTAAACAACATCAGCAACCTGAACGGGATCGGCACGTCCGGCATCAACTCGGCCATGTCATCGTCCGCGTGTCCGTACGGGCCTCCTGGCTCTCCGTACAGCGTTTACCGGGACACTTGCAACTCCAGCCTGGCCACCCTCAGACTCAAATCCAAGCAGCATCCAACGTTTGGATACAGCGGCCTGCAGAGCCCCGGGTCGAGCCTGAACGCCTGTCAGTACAACAGCTGACGGGCCAAAAGCGAGGCCCAAATATTATAAATAGAAATAAATATATATGTGATGAACGGACACGGTGTCAGAGCTTATAGAGGCTACCTGCGGATGGGGAGAAAAATCAAAGACAACTAAACTGGATTAGTTGCAATCATTTTTCATAAAAAAAAAGAAAACATGGATTATGCGGGTTATATGTGTTTACCAATGAACTTGCACAGCAATTGAAATGTCCAGTTGTTTTTTTTAAATGAAGACGTGTTACATTGCTGCATTGTACATATATAAATGTAAATATATACAGGCCTAACGTATGAAACAGACGATGGGATTTTTCTTTTCCTTTTTTTTTGCGCTTGCTTGCTTTCGAAGACTGGTTTATTTGGGGGGGGGGGGGTTCTCGACCAAAATAAGGATTTGCAAGAAAAAAAATTAAAGTGTCGAGCCTGTCATGAGTCCAGACTCAATGAGGAGGGAAAAAAAGAGAAAATCTAGCCTATCATGTACATATTTTATACTGCTTCTGTGTGCTTTCTATTTACCGTCTATGCAGGGTGCCACCGGCCCGTTTGACTCCATGACGCCTCCCGTTCAGTGACTTTTACTTTTACGTGTTTTTCATTTTCTTTGCTGAAACAGAAAACCCCGCATGTTTAACTTGAGTGCAACGTTGTTTTGTACGATAATGTAAGACTTTGCAGAAGTAAGTTCATTAGCCTAAACTGTATACAAAAAAAAAGGTGATTCCAAGTCCTCATGTGTTTATGGTAACATGTTTGTTTGAATAAACTCCAGGAAAAGAGAGGTTTATTTCAACTAGTGTGTTTTAGAGGAGTCTTTGTCTAATTTCCCAAAGAGGAGCAAAAGGAAATAACTTGGCAAAATAACCGCAGCCGATTGATCCACTCAGTTTATAAAGATTATCTCAGAAATATGAAGATTTTTCAGGATTAGCCAGTAGTTATCCGAGCTTTTATCAGGAGATTTTTTTTTTTATTTTGTTAATTTTGAAGCTTATTCCTGCATTATTGTTTTTTTTTTTTTTACACATAAAATTACACGTTCTCCGTAGAGGGAAATTAATCCATCCAAGTTTATCCGCATCTTGCACACTTCCAGACTTAATATCTAAATTTCTAGGAATTATAGGGTCATTGTCTAAAGCCTCTCTTAATGTTACAGGCTGATGTTATTTGGCGAGTGTGATCATTACCATATCTCACCGCTCAGTGCAGGAAATAGTTCTATTCACGCCTCTGCTCTGTTTCATTTTATAATAGCCTATATATTGATAGATTCATGATTATTTTATACTTTCATCACGACATAATAACACACTGCGATTCAATGTGGACGCCCTTCTGGCAGAGGTTTGGCAGACGCCCGCACCTCTATGTGGCACTATACCTACCGAACATATTGTAGCCTACGTGGTTTGGTGCGTCTCCATAGCCAACCTGTAGGCTATATTTTAGATTATTCACAGGATGAAAAAAAAAAAAAACAGCATATAAACGAGTTGATGCCTTTTATTTCCTCATTTTATTTGAGGTGCAGAAAATGCTGTGAAACGGAAAAAAACCTGTAGCCTATCTTTTACTCCTTCTGTTGACCCGGGCCCGTTCTTCCATGTGAACACAAAATGAATCCAATCAATACCGTATCTTGTTTTCTGACACCTGCAGAAATCCCCATATCTATATTACTCACCATTAGACTGATATTAGCGCGCTGCATAAGTGAAGCGGCAATGATTGTGTGCTTTCACTGATAGTGCACTGTGAAGGGAGGATGTTATAGGATTACAGGCACTTTAATAAGCCATCACGTAAAACAGTCTCGTGATCACTAATAACGCAGCCCGTGATACCTGAAGAATGATCACGTGATTTATACGCTACTGCTTTATGGGCGTACAGTGTTACAAGTAAGCAGTTCTCTAATGTAAACCAGTACAGGTATAATAATCAATTTTAACTTCTTTTTTAAATCCGCCATCCCATCTTTATTAGTAGGAACCACATTGACTGATGTGCTTCACTTATTGCTCCTCTAGTGTTACAGTCCACACTCCAGAGTATATAGTCCCTTAGTTTATTTTAGCCGTTTTAATTTTCCACATTAATGTTCCTCTACATATTATTTCTCTGTATGGTTATCTAAAAGTGAGTTTTTCTTGACTTTTTTTGTATTAGATCAGCTGGCTATTTTACCATAGCCTGGAGTGAGTCTGTGACTCAGTAGTAAATCTTGGCCTTATGGTGGCACTTTGGGAAAATAATTATTCTCCTAGTACTACCCCAGTGATATTTGATGTTTTTACAGTGCATCTGTGATGCTTAAATTAGGGTTTATGTTGTATAAGGAAGATAATATTTTACCATAACAGGTCGTGTGTCTGTCACTCAAAGGTGACTTTATCTTGACTATGGTGGCTTTTTGGCAATTGCCTCATCTACTTATATAATAATCCAATAATATTTTATCCTGGCCTGTGTCTGTGATACTAAGTGAGTTTATGTTTTTGGAAAATTTCTCCACTAATATAGTGTGAAATTCAAAAAGTAATATTTTTGAATTTCACACAATATTTAGATTTTTTGTCATTATCCTCCAATAGCACCTCAATAATAGTGGGATAATTTACCTTGACTTACAGTGTGTCTGTGACATGCAAAAATGAGTTTGTTAAACTTATACCTTTTTGGAAAATTGATCTCCTAAAATGACTTTCATATTCCTACAGTATTTTACTCTAAGTGAGTTTTCTTGACAATGTCGGAGCTTTTTAATAATTATCCTCCAGTAGTACCTAAATAATATTCCTATATGTTGTTCTTGGCTTGTAGTGTGTCTGTGATAGTGAAAGTGAGTTTATGTGAGTGATGTGTCATTTTGGAAATTTCTCTTAGAGTGACTGATATTCCTATAGTGTGTGAAACTCAGTACTTTTTTTTTTTTTACCTTATGGTGCTTTTTCATTAATATCTCCCTACCTACTAAAACATTCTGTCTCTGACACTCAAGAGTGATTTTATTTTAAAATTAAGGTGACCTTTTTGAAAAATATTTCCAATAATGACGTTGCAATATTCCTATAATATTATACCTTAATCTGTAGTGTGCCTGACACTCAGTTATTTCATCTGGAGATAAGTGCTTTTTTGGTGAATTTATATCTTAAAATGGATCTGTCTGTGACACTGAGTTTAGGAGTTCTCCAGACTCCAGGTGTGTTTTGGCGGTTTTAGCTATTTTAATAGGCTATTTTACCTTAACATATAGTGAGTCTGAGACTTCAAACATTATATTTACCTAGTGAGTCTGAAAATTAAAGGGAGTTAATATAGACAGGTGCGTTTTTGTGATTCTAAAACTCTATAACAATAAGATATATTTTTATAGTGACTGCAGCTGTTTGTTTCGCTCTGTCACAGGGTTGCTGAAACTCTTTTGTCGTTCAGATTCATCATTCATAACAAGTCACAACAGTAACATAAGCAGCGCGCGCGGCTTCAAATTCTTTCCTTGGGCGCGCCCGCGTGCACCGCGGAGGAAGAAAGTTTACTCAGTGCGGGCATGCGCACTGGCTGTAATAGCAGCAATCCGCTTTGATTTGACAATGTTTGACGGGGGAACAAAGTCACCCGAGGCTCATAGTGTTTCCTAACAAAAACAAAGCGCGCACGCTGCTGTAAACGTTACCCATAATTCTTGTTTGCAGTGATAAATAAAGACCGCGCAGGGCCACCGTGAACGCGCATGAACCTGGAGGGCAAAGTTCAAAACACCGACCGCTTTATAGCCTGTAAATATTTGAACTAGAGTTCTCGAGTAAGGAATTCCCCACTTCCCCTGACTTATTAGAGATACTACACAATAGAATAGAACAGAATAGAATAGGCCTGACAGCTGTGTTTATTTTTCATGGTTTTCTGACATTAGACTGGAAATCCGATTTGTGAATAAATTGAGGAAATACTCAGCAGATTAATCATGAATGAAAACAATTGTTAGTTGCAACCACAGGACTTAAGGTCACAGCATCTGAAGGGGGGCTGCAGCCAAACTGGACTGGACAGAGTTCCAGCATTCAATTGAACAATTGCTGAAAATTAACTGCAATGTAAAAATCAAGACAATATGAAGAGGAACTGATGCTGGATTTCACGTCATCACAGACCTTCTCTGATTGGTCCTGTAGTAACTCAACCAGCAAACTTCAGTTTTAAATGCATCATCATTTTTCATCTTGTGCTGTTATTTGAAAATGTAATCGACAATACTGGCTTTCTCTGAGGCACATTTGGAGTTTAACTGGTAATTTGATTAATTGCACATTTCTTTAGGAATTTGCACCAATTAAGTGCAATTTCAGCTCAGACAGGTTGCATATTATTACCTAACGTTGTGGCCCCGTCTTCTGCCACATGGCCCTGTTATCAAAATCAAGTTTAACTTTTATTATTTTAATTTTCATTCTGCCAACATGGTGTACACTACTTTATTAATAGTTTTTTATTAAATCATCTTACTGTAAAATAACTGGCACACAAAAACCTGGGGCCTGCATGTTGGTCTCCATGTCTCGTCAAAAAATGAAGCTGCCATGAGGACATAATGTCTTAAGGGCAATTAGCAAAGGCCAAACAGCATATATTTTGCCCTAAGGCCCTAAGAGTTTAATGCAACCATGGCTGAAGTTACACTGTAGAAAGCTATGAAGGAAATGGAACAAAGAAACCAATTAAATAGTATTTGCAAATTGCTTAATGGTTGCAAAAAGATGGAAGCATCATCCTCCTTTTCAAAAGTTAAAGCCGACTTCATTACAGTGACACGTGATTACATATTTAAATTCAGCAAAAACCACCATAACGTAATAAGAGGCTGGAACTTGTATTTGAAGCCATTATACAAATATCACTACACTTGCAATTGACTGGGATCCGATGAGTCTCTACAACCCCGCCCATCCGATGTATCCTAATTAACAAAACAAGCTCTGCTAAACCAAGGCCTTCCCTCAGCTATGACTACAATGCTGCTCAGCTTCTGTTAGTTTTCTGCTGCTGCTGTAGACGCTGCCAGGTCCCTGGAGCAGCTTATCTGATCCTGAAACCTGCGCTACAGCTGCTGCATCCTATAAACACACCAAGTCCCTGTTTACATCTAAACCTGTAGTTTATCCAGAAGCACTGACGAGACTGTAATATAACAATGCCGACCCTGTAATCAAACAATAGCAGCAGAGGTTCTATTAGGACAATATGGCAGCACCGGTCTTCATCTTTCGCATTGACAGTGATGTTTATCTCTGTGGGTGTGAGGCAGCTGCCGCACCCCAAAAACAAGACAGCAGCCCACACA